CCTACCCAACACTGCAAAAGCAGAAAAAATAAAATCAGAACTGCAGATGCTGGGATACTCTGTTATCAATGTAACGCAACTCCGTAGGCACAAATCCCGCTATCCTATGCCATTATTTCTGATTCAACTAAATCCGTCACTAAATGTATATGACATTTTTGAAGAAACCTCAATGTTTGGTATAGAAATTAAATTTGAAAAACACATCGGGAAGAAGGGGCCGAGCCAGTGTTGGCGCTGCCAGGGCTTCTTTCATAGTTCCGCAGTGTGCACACTGCCAATCGGTGTCTGAGGTGTGCTGGCCCGCATTACGCGTACCAGTGCACTAAAGACCCAGAAGAAGCCAACACCTGCGCGAACTGCCTTGGGCGGCACGCAGCCAACTGGTTTCACTGCCCTCGAAACCCGATGAACAAAAATAAAAATCCCCCCATTCGACCGGATAGCGGAAAAACAAAATTTGTACCGGCTCCGGCTAAAGCTCCTCATAGCAGCACGGACCCCTCTTTTAGCGAAGTCGTTTCCGGACGGAAAAATCCCGGACTCCCACCATCTACGAAGGACCAGAAGCAAGCCCTGAAGCAAGCGTCGAAGCATAGTCCTTCTCTCCAGCCAGCACCACCGGCCCAGGCTCTAGCCCCAACCGTAGATGATGGCAGTTGTACAGACACCCTCAGGAGTGTATTCCAAATCGCAGCTGAGTTTGGAATTGAACATCAGACACTCCTGCAGGCCTTCAGAAATGCTCTCCCAAAGCTCCGAAATGTCTCCACGGGGCCTGAGAGAGCGTTTTATATTTATGAGGCATACTGTGGCCTCTTAAACTAATGGCCTCAAATTCAATCGTGCAACTAGTGATGACAGCCTCCTGATCTCCTTCTGGAATGCCAACGGGATCAAGAAGAAGATTCACGAAGTCCAGGATTTTATTAATGAGCACCACATGGACCTCTTCCTCGTTCAGGAGACACATCTGGTTGAGAGACTTAGCGCGAACATCGCGAATTATTTCTGCTACCGAAATGACAGAGAGGTATGCATCAGTGACACTGTTCGTGCTAGTGGCGGTACTAGCATTTATGTAAAACGCTCCTTAAAACATTCTAGAATTCCCACGCCACCACTGGAGGCCTTAGAAGCGACTATTATTCAAATTCATATTCAAAATTGCCCCCCAATAGCAGTAGCGTCCTGCTATATGCCTCCGAGACAGGGACCAGCATTTATCTCTGATCTCAGAAAATTAAGTGGTGTAGCAAATAACCTGATTATCGCAGGAGATTTAAATGCCCGTCATAGAAGTTGGGATTGTGTCACTGCCAACAACTATGGCGATAAACTCAAAATTTGGGCTCAGGACGCCCGTATCCAAATTATTGCGCCGAACTCACCTACCCATTTCCAGTTTCCTGGGGGGGTTAGGTGCTCCTTCTATTATTGATTTGGCTTTATTTAAAAATATTCCAGTAGATTATTCGATCGAAGTGATCCCGGAATTGTCCTCTGACCATTATCCGGTTCACCTCACCCTTAAAACTACCAAAATCAATCAAAATTTACCGGCGCAAGTCTCTACAAATTGGGACAACTTTCGGTATGTCTTTGGAAAATGGTATTCTCCCCCCCCCTATCAAAATTAACGATAATCAGGAGGTTGACTTTAGCCATTGACAGGCTCAACCAAACCCTGCGTTTACGGCTGCTTCCAAGCCCAAATTCAGGTCAAATTATTATAAATTACCTGATTTCATTAAAGAGAAAATCAAAATTAAAAACCGTCTTCGCAGAGATTGGCAAAATACACGATTTGGAAGACTTTCGAGTACAACTGCGAAGAATCCAGAATGAGATCAAGTCTGATATTAAGAAATACGCAGACGATAAATACGCAAATTATCTTAAGTCCTTAAAGACTTCTGACAATAGCCTTTGGGTAGCTAGCGCACGGCTTCGCAAACCAAAACATGACATTCCCCCCCTAATGGGCACGGTCAATGACCGGATGGCATTAACAGACACTGAGAAGGCTGAACGCATTGCGGACAGTCTTCAAACACAATTTTCACCTAACACTGGACTCATGTTCGATTCCTGTGCAGAGCACACGCATGAAGTCCAAACACCAAGTTGAAGAGTTTCTCTCCTCAGATACTCACACTGAGGAACCCATTACCACAACAATGTCAGAGATTTCTGTTATCATCAAAAATCTCAAACCTGGAAAAGCTCCTGGCCTGGATAGGATTTCTAATCGCATGATTAAAAACTTCCCAGTCAAATTTATATTTTACCTAGCAGTTTTGATTAACTCAATGCTAAGGTTAAAATATTATCCTAATAGCTGGAAGAATGCTTGTGTCATTCCTATTCTAAAACCTGGAATGGACCCAAAGGTCCCTCAAAATTATAGACCGATCAGCCTCCTGTCTTCACTTAGTAAGATTTACGAAGCTATACTGCTTAGATACCTGAATGATTTCTGCCGAAACCGAAATATTATTATTCCTCAGCAATTCGGTTTTCGCGCTAAGCACTCAACTCAGGCCCAGCTACTGAGGGTAGTAGAAATCATTCACACAGGGTCTCGCAGTGGAAAGCCTACAGCTATTGTTTATTTAGACGTAGCAAAGGCTTTTGACAGGTGTTGGCATATCGGAATTTTATTCAAGCTCATGCGACTTGAAATTTCGGCTAATTTTGTGCACATAATGCACTCTTACCTCACTAATCGTTCCTTTTCTGTCAAAGTTAAATACTCTGTTTCTTCTCCTCGGCCTATCCTGGCGGGTGTGCCTCAGGGAGGAATTCTTAGCGCCACACTCTTCAACTTGTATGTAAATGACATACCACAATCACCAAGTGTCGAACTAGCACTTTATGGAGACGATACAGCCATCATTTCACAGCACACAACACTGCATGCCACTCTCAATCACCTACAGCTGTATTTAACAGACTTGGAGTCCTGGCTCATTACCTGGAAAATCAAAATTAATGTCGCAAAAAGTGCCGCCACCGTTTTCTTTTCCAGAAAGAGGAATGTTCATAGTCAACTCCCTCCACTCAGGTTATTTGAAGAAAATGTACCCTGGGTGGATTCTTATAAATATCTGGGAGTTTATCTAGATGCGAAGCTGCTCTGGAATACACATATCAACTATGCCATATCCAAAGCCAGAACAACATAGACCCGGACTCAACTCATGTCACTCACTCAAACGTAGAACCAGCAACCTGGCTCTCTCAACAACAAGATCCTACTGCACAAGAGCACCATCCAACCCCATCCTGACGTATGCAGCCGTCGTCTGATCCACTGCAGCCAACAGCCATCTAAAGAAAATTCAAGTATTCCAGAGCGTCACGCTTCGTATTCTGACAAATGCTCATTATTTCGTCCGTAATGAAGTGCTTCATAACGATCTCAAAATTCTACCCCTTGATGCCTTTTTTCGGCAAAATTCGGCCAAATTTTTCAATAGACTTTCACAGATTGAAAACCCAGTCTTGCACTCACTTCCTGCATATGACCCAGCAGAGCCCAGCTCCGCTAAGCGACCTAGGAGCGTTCTAGATAGAACATTTAACATTTTTCCTAGGAAGCCAAAGCGGAGGTGTTTGCTTGACTAGGAATTCTTTCTAATTTTTAAAATCAACCAGCACTTCATGGGCCTAACTTGGCGACCCTTAACTATTTCTTAATTATCAATTACCCGCCGGACTTAATTCGGCCTAGTTCTTCGGTAATATATCCGTGCTGCTATACATAACATGCTTATCCACTTGCCAAGACCTCAGCTTTTCATATCTCACGGTCCAGACAATTAGGATTCATAATTGCAATAGAATAACTGACTAATTAATATTTAATGCCACTCCATGAAATTCAGTAAATTCATAATCTTCACGTCAGATTTTGTAATTATTAAAATTACTCTATCCTAAATCTACACAGCAAATATTCTTCTGTTTAAAATTTATCATTCAATACTCCGTAATAAAACCTACAAGCTTGCATATTCTTCAATTCACATCCTTACTCCCAAAATTTAACTTATTCCTGCCTTTAAAATTAATTCTCCCCCTTTAAATTCTACTTTTTACCCCTTTCTTAAGCCACTTTACCTCGAAATCTCTCAAAAAACTTCGCCGTCTTTTTCACAGTTAACTTTCCTTGTGGTTCTCTTTCCTTTCGAAAAGTTGCTCCTATTATTCAACTCGCCACGGGCGGTCGGAGAACTTTTCGCCTTCCTTGAATAGACTATCTCCCCCCTCCACCTTTCGCTCCTCCATCTCTGGATTCAAGTTTTAGTCGCAAGACTCTTTCCCCCCCCGCCCATCCCCAAGGCATTAGCAATTACTGCGGTTTTCCGTAATACCTAATATACCTTTCCCAAGCCCTGCAGAAATATGTTTCCCCCGGCTGATTGTCTTCCAACCTTTCCGATTCCATTAACGCAATGCGTTCAGGAATTCGCCTCAATTATCTCTTCTCTCACTTTCAATCTTGCAAAACAAGTTGAAAGCTGAAAGAAATTTTTCGTCCCTAGTGTGGACTCCTTATTCAACTCTTCTTCGTTTAACCCCTAACGGTTTTGTTTGATACCCTTTAGCCATTGCTCATTCTTAGTTACTTCAGTTCTCTTAACGAAGTTGTGGAGGTAATTGCATTAAGTTGCAAAGGTACTCCGGAAACTATCGCCTTGTGGGCCTTGGGCCGAGTAACGAATACATACGGTTACACAATTTCTCGTTACTTCTACAGCACTAGGAATCAGATGCCAAACAAATATAAACACATCTTAATCCCGTTTTTCCCCATGTATTTTCCTTTTCTCCTTAGCACCTATTCCCCACATGATATTTACTTCCGTTGGCATAATAAAATGTCGCCCATATCCTTAAAGGAGCCAAGTTGGCGCAACCAAGCCTGTTCTCCGAGCCTTATCCCCGACTTTCTTTCGTGCCAAAGTTCGCCCATCGAGCAAAAACACCTTGCTGAGTGCAAAACAGGACATATGTGTACTTTCTTTGTTAGAACGGTGAAGTTACACTTCAAACTAAATACTGACTGAAAACAGAATTTATACTTATGCATATACAGATTCACATAAAACAGGAATATTTTGCTCGTGATATATGCAAGAAATTATTTAAGAATGTATATATAATTTCATTCAGAGAATGATCCTCGTGTATGTGCTACAATGTATAATAGTTAACAGAAAATGAAACTTATTTAATGAACCACGTGCATACTCACAGAAAAGAAAAAGCAACTCGTGCAGTTTTATTACTTGTATCAAGTGGCTCATTTGAAGTCTTCTTTAATAGCGCTTAAGATGCAGATGGAGAAACCTCATAAAGTGATATGTTATGTAATAAAACATTTCTTGAGTAACAGCAAATTCAATACATGTGAGTGATATACGCTAGAACACATTTATACAAAACTAGTATAATACACATGACCACTAAGCAGAGATTTAGTCAAAAGTGTGACTTAATTTGCATGTTAGCTCCCGCATTGTAGAAACATCTTGTCCATGCAAGCATAAAAGTTAGATATATAAAAAATGCATAAAGTAGTGCATATGTACATTCACATTACAGAAAGGCCTCATTTATAGTTATTTGCATCAAAATAGTCATTTGCATGAAAGTACCGTTTAACTATGCAGAACTGTATCCAAACAAGGGAAAAAGCTTATATCTGCATTATATGTAACCAGGCATTTAAACAAAATAAGGAATTAATCATGCATAAGAGTATTCACACAGGAGAGAAACTTTATGCATGTGATATCTGTAATATGTTATTTAAACAAACCAGTAAATTGCAGGTGCATTTGCGTGTCCACTCGGCAAATAAATCTCATGTATGTGATATCTGTAACAAGTCATTCACAGTAAAATACAATTTAATAGTGCATAAGCGTAGCCACACGGGAGAGAAACCTTATGTATGTGATATGTGTAATAAATCATTTTCACAGAAGCATAATTTAGTAACGCATAAGCGTAGCCATACAGGAGAAAAACCTTTTATATGTGATATATGTAATGTATCATTTGCAAGGAAACAACTTTTATTGAACCATCTGTATAATCATGCTGAAGTCAAACCTCATATATGTGATATATGTAATGCGTCATTTGCGCAAAAACATCTTCTAGCGATACATATGTGCAATCATACTGGGGAGAAGCCTTATGTATGTAATTTGTGTAGCAAGTCATTCACGCGAAAGCAACATCTAATGGTACATATGGATATCCATGCAAGGGAAAAACCTCACATATGTAATATGTGTAATAAATCCTTTACACAAAATCGATATTTACTAAAGCATACGCTTACGCACACAGGGGAGAAGCTTCATGTATGTGGTATATGTACAAAGGCATTCAGACAAAAGCACCATTTAGCAGAGCACATGCGAGTCCATACTGGAGAGAAACCTCACACATGTCATATATGTACCAAGTCGTTTGTACAGTTGAGTGGCTTGCATGTGCATTTGCTCACTCACACAGGTGAGAAGCCACACGTATGTGATTCCTGCAATAAGTCATTTACACGAAAACATGATTTAATACGTCATGTTCAAATTTGCAAATGGAAAGCTGATTTTTCAAATATCGAGGAAGTATAAAAACTCTCAGAAGTCAGTATTCATAAAGGTTGCCTTTATCATAAACTTAATGTTTCTGAAAGAGTTCTTGATTCATGTATCAATAAAAGATTTGCTTAGGTTTAGTATTTCATTTCAAGCAATGTGTCAAATAAAATGTTGCAGACAGTTTTTCATTAAAATTACAAAATTTAAATTTTTGTATAAAGTTTCTAGGAGGAAGCTTTCTATTACTAATGTACTCCTTGTTCTTTCAAAACTCTTCAAATGAAAGAAAGGTTTGGCAATAAAAATTTCCATTACGTGACAGTTAAAAAATCTATAGCAGAATTTTTCAAATTGTTGTACATGTACCACTAATGATATAATTCATTTTTGATTGTAAAATGTTTGCACAAAAAATTTAAATGAACGTAAAATGGTACTCCTTTTGTACTTTTTATAAATTTTTTATTCGTATCCATGTGGAACAAAAATTAATAACCTCTGATCTATACTAAAATATATGTGCTAACTTGATGGTTTTGGCTAAACTATCATCATTAACTTATTTTGCTGCATTAAATTTTTCTGAACAGAACTATAAGTTAGTTATTTTAATTAAAAAAAAAAAAAATTATGCTTTCTTTATACAGCATTTACTTTGAAAACGTGAACACAGTTGCAGGAAGAACTTATTCAATTTAATGGAACCTAATAGGAAATGTTGGCATGTACTTTCTTTTATACAATGTTTGGCTAATCTTTGGAATATGGTAACAGGTAGTTTGGTGAGCAGTGTACATGGATAAAGTGAAGAGTGTGCGCAATGCCATTTTTTTGCAATTCTGGGATGTTTTTTTAAGTGAAAATAGGTCAACGTGTACATGGGTACCATGTATGTGCAGTTCTTAAAAACGTGGCAAGCAGTGGGCGATTCTGCACTTTCTCCCAATTTCGCACCTAATCTTCATCATGATTAAGCACTTTTGTTCCATAAAAGTTCTAGCGTAAGCGTAATTCGGCTAGCAGATTGTTGAAAAAAAATGTTGAGTAAAAAAAAAAAAAAAAAAAGCCTTTACTTCGTGAAAACAAAATGGCATCCAAAAAAACCTAGCAAGTTGCTGTAGCAGGGTTGATTGCCAAAAAGTCGCCAAGTTACCATAATCCGAAGATTAACCCAATGTTCTTTTGTGTGTGTTCTGTAGCAAAAAAGAACAGACAGCTCTATAATATATATATATGTGTGTAATTTTTTTTTTAAACTATGTCTCAAATTACTTTTATATGACGGCAACAAGTAGCAAATACTCGTTTCGTTTATTCTATGACACCATCAATTCTAACATGTTCTTCTTAATTGTACTTTCCTTGACAGAAAAAGAGATTTTAATTCTAAGAAAATAAATTAAATCAAATGCTAAAATGCATCAATCAAATATTTTTAATGAGTAGTTTGGTTTTTTAACTACAAAAATATTACTTTCTATATCAGAAGGTTGAAAAAAAAAAAAAAAAAAAAAAAAAAAAAACAACAATTTTTGAAAAAATTCCAGTTACAAAATGCAAAGCATATCTTGTTTCCATTGGTGTTTATATGTTGGTGTATTGGTTTTAGCCTAAAACACCATTTTTCATCAAAGATATACCATCTTCCTAAATCTAACATATATCATGTTCCTAAAATAAAAAGATATGCTGCGCAAAAAAAAAAAAAAAGACAGTTCTGCATTTTCTGTTTTAGTGGGCCGATCGACAAAATTCAAATTGCGTTTTCCATGTCTTGAAAGCGCAACTTAGGATATGTATTACATCTATGTATAGCCTTGTTATAACATAGGTATTTGGACAAAAAATGGGACTTATTCTGAAATAACATATACATTTTTTCCCATATTTCGATTTTTCGTCACAAATAATGTCTAAGTATTAACTTTTGTAAAATTTGGTGCGAAATTTATGGAGAAATTAAAAAACTTAACTTGTCACATTTTTTTCAGTTTGCACCAAGAAAAGAGTCAGTTTGTGCATTTGGCGAATTTCTTAATATATTGCAACCTATTTTCCTTTCCCTTCCATTGTGCAGGAATGGGAAAAAGTCACAGCATTCCAACTTTCAAATAATTTTAACAAAGTGAGTGCATAAACTACATCTGATGTAATTATTGCTTTAAACAAATATGCCAAATTTCAAAACGCACTAATATATAAATTCACATACATCTTTGGAAATTCTGAATAAAATAACTGCCATTTTTTGCAGGTATGCTTAGAAATAAATACATCTACATTAAGATGATGGTAAAATTTTTACAGATTATAATTCAAACTTTTTTTTTGAAAATTTATAAAAATTATTTAAAACTACAGATTTTAAAAATAAATCATAAAAAATTGGCAAATTTTATTTGGAATGAATTAAAATTTCAAAATGTGAAAGGAAGAATAAAATAAGTTTAATAAAGAAAGATATATTAATAAATATATACCAAACTCAATTAACTTTGAGGAGCTAAAATCTCCAGATCTATTTTTTAAAAACTACGTGTGCGATTTTTACAAAACTTGGCGTTTTGGCGTAATTTGAGTCGTAGAATTGAAATATGGAAAAAAAATTGGCATGTCATTTTAGAAAAAGTCTGATTTTGTGTCAAAACACCCTATATTAGAACAATGCTATATATAAATATAATACATATCCTAAGTCATGCTTTCGAGACATGAGAAATGCAAGTTGAATTTCGTCAATCAGCCCAGTAGAACAGGAGATATAGAACTGCACCCACTTTTTTTTTGGTTTGCGCAGTATACCTTAAACCCAATATATCAAATTTAAACATATAATATATAATAAGTTTTATTAAAAGAAAAATTTTATATTTTAATGTATCTCCAAATGGGGTTTCAAAATCGATGATTTTATATTAAAACTTTGGTTGGATTTATGAGTTACTTTTTAAACATTTGCATCTGTTAAAAAAATAATTAAAGATAGAAATATGCATAGTTGTTTTTGACAAAATTTATACGTACCTTCTCAAAATGTTAATTGATATTACCCGGTGAAAAGTTATACAAATTTTAATAAAGTGTTCGTAATTTATTTAAAAAAAAAAGTCACATTGAACATTTTACTTTTTATGAAAAAGAAAATACAAATAATTATGCACAAACAAGAAAACATTTAAAATTTAAATAAATAATCACCCAGTATTACAGAAATGATATAAAATAATGAGCAAATTTAATTCTGCTATATAATTTAGGCCAGAAACTACCTCACATAATTTTCTTCTGCTTTCACATCTATTTATATTCTTGGAGATATTAAGGCAATAAGTTTAAAAAAGTGATTTTGCATAAGTTTTAAGATTTAATTTTCCCATTTAAGGAGATTGTCATTAAATCTGAAATATGCTGTATAGCGAAATATCTTCATTTGATATCCAAAAGCAAATTGAAAACATGTAGTTATTAAATATGAAATGTTGTACAGTCAAATACCTTTGATGAAAATTTTGATATCCAAATAAAATTGAAAACAATAATCATTAAATCTGAAATATGTTATATGGCCAAATAATGTTTGATGAAAAAATTTGATATCCAGAAGTTGCAATACAGTCAAAAGTTGTTAATCCGGACTCGTCGG